CCTCAGTTTCTTTATCTGTACAGAGGGAATCAAATGTGATCCTGTATCTGGAAGCACAGTGTCAATTCCGATATGCACTAAAAATGTTAGATATGCCTCCAGTCAATGTTGTTATTAAAATTGTTATTTCTCTTAAAATCTCATTTGTTTCCTTTTGGGGGAAGAAATTCATTTATGCCATTGATGATGTCACTGTCTGTGTAATTAGCTCTTTTTTTCCCCTCTTCCTAAAGCTTTGAGCAAAATGTAATTAGCTCTTTAAGGAGAGCACTGAGTTCTTTCAGATACTTCCCTTGACCTATAAGACTTGTTCAGCCTGTAAATATGTTTATTATTTATAACCTAGGCTCTTGCTGTACCATCCTTTTACTGTGCTGACATTTTCACACTGGGTAGCAATTTGGATTTCTAGAAAATGACTATACCAGAGAGACTGTCTTGAAAAGCTTCATAGCCTTCTATTTATTTGTCCAACCCTGTTTCAGTCTATTTTTATTCCTGTGATTCTAAAAATAGAGTATGAGCTCGCTTTGAATTTTCCCAGCCTCTTAATTTTATCTAAATTCTTGCTAAACACAGGAATAACATTTTAGCAGTTATTTAGGTGCAGTGGCAAGAGCTAGCCAAAAGCATATGAAAGGAAAGAGGGAAAAGGAAAGGCATCCTGAGTAGAGCATCATATCATGCATCTAGATGTTTGTTCCTGATAGGAAGATAGTGATGTTTACAGAGACCAGAGCAGTTCTGGGGCCACTGCTGGGCTGATGTCAGGGAGCAGTTGTGGTAATGGTAGGTAATGTCAGGTGCTGTGCTCTGCCCTCTACATACCTTTGTCATTCATCCTCACAGTAGTCCTAAAGGGCAGGTACGATGACAGTTTTTACATTTTCTTGACGAGGAGACTGAAGTTAGTTTACATGATTTGCCCAAGATCACATTGTTAGTAAGTGGTGGAGCAGGGGTTTGAAACCAGCCCTGCCTGACCCTAGAACTTGAGTTCTTAACTCTATACTGTAGGCTTCAGGAGAAAGTTGTATTTTATTGCTAGTGATAGCTGGGGAAATTGGCACATCACTTTCCATTTGCAGGTTGTACTTCAGAGTTTCTGGATGGAGGCAGAGTCTGTTTTCGGCCTGCAAAGGCGGGAGGATTATGTCCGTCACAGGGAGCATTGTAAAAGGAGCACTGATGAAGAAAAGGCCAGGATGAGACTAGTAAATGAAGCAAAGAATTGATGTTAGAATTACACCCATTGGCTGGGTGTGGTGGCTCATGTCTGTAATCCCAGCACTTTGGGAGACTGAGGCAGATAGATCACCTGAGGTCAGGAGTTTGAGACCAGCCTGGTCAACATGGTGAAACCCCATGTCTACTAAAAATACAAAAATTAGCCGGGAATGGTGGTGGGTGCCTGTAATCCCAGCTACTTGGGAGGCTGAGGCAAGAGTATCACTTGAACCTGGTAGATGGAGGTTGCAGTGTGAGCCAAGATTGCGCCATTGCACTCCAGCCTGGGCAACAAGAGTGAGACTCTGTCTCAGAAAAAAAAAAAAGAAACCCATCTTCCCTTCTTTCTCCCTACCCTCTCTATCTCTTTATTCCTAGTAATTTACTCTTATAGAACCTACTTCTTATCATTTGTGGCACTTATACTTTTTAATTACACATTTATTTGTATAATAGTTTAATACTCACATACTGTAAGCTCCAGGAGGGCATTGATTATATTTATCGTGTTCACTAGTATAAATTCAGTGTCTATAAGTCTTGCTACATAGAAGGTTCCCAATGAATGAAGTATTTTTTGAATGTATGAATGAAAACAGATTTATTTTAAAATTTATTTATTTATTTGACAGTGCAAAAAAATAAGAGGCTGGAGTGCAATGGTGCCATCTTGGCTCACAGCAACCTCCGCCTCCCATGTTCAAGTGATTCTCCTGCCTCAGCCTCCCGAGTAGTTGGGATTATAGGTGCCCACCACCACGCCTAGCTAATTTTTGTATTTTTAGCAGAGATGGGGTTTCACCATGTTGGTCAGGCTGGTCTTGAACTCCTGCCCTTAGGTGATCTGCCTGCCTTGGCCTCCCAAAGTGCTGGGATGACAGGCATGAGCCACCATGCCTGGCCTGAAAATAAATTATTGAAAAATGAATGAAGGGTAAGAGTTAGAAAAGCTTTTAGAGAATACTTAGTCTCTCTTTACCCCTCGCCCCTTTTTTAATAGTGTGGAAACTGAGTCTCAAAGAGGGTAACTAATGCTTATTGAGTGCTAACATAAGGTGGCACTTAAGCAAGTTATCTTACTTTAGTCCTCATGTTCATTTATTTAAGAAGCATTTATCAGGTACCCATTATGTCCCAAGCAGTGTTCCACAGGTTTAGGGGAAGCATCCAGGATGCTGCACTTCACTCCTCGTCTCTGAACATCATGGAAGTTCAATTTTAAAATGTCTATCTTTAGTGATATTTCAAGTGGCTTGTTGAAGATGCTGACAGTGAAGCCCCTTTTCAGGTGTGATTGTCTTGGCTAGGCCCTGTACTGATTGAACTGCTCTGAGTTCACACCTTTCTAGGGACAGCCCTGCCAGAAGTAGAATAATGTACAGAAAAGACAAATTCACTGCTTTCATGGAGCATTGATGGAAGCAGATCATGAATAAACACCTGGACAAAAATATCAGTTAGTGGTAAATACTATGATGAAAGTAAAATAGCATGATATGATAGGGAGCACCTGGGAAGGAGTGCTCTTTTGGTTGGGTTGCCACCTTCTGATAAGATGACATTTAAACCAAGCCTGTTATTCAGTAAGAAGGAGCCAGCCATGCAAAGACCTGGGAAGGGAACCTTACAGGGAGGAGAACGTAAGGCAAAAGCCTTACATAGAGGTGAGCTTGGTGTGTTTGAAGGACAGCAAGAAGGGTAAAGGATGCCAAGGAACAGCAATCAAGGAAGAGAGTGGCAATTAATGAATTAGGAGAGGTTATTAGAAGCCTGATGATATAGAGTCTTGAAGTCTAGGGTAAGGTGCTTAAATTTTGTTCTAATATGATGGGAAGCCATTGGAACGTTTTAAGCAGGAGAAAGGCACAGTCTGATGTATTTAAAACATTGTAGTGGGTGGACAGTGGATTTGAGTGCAGGAGAATGGAGGCAGGGAGATGAACTAAGGCCATCGCAGTGGTGCAGGAGAGAGGTAGGTGGTGGGGGCTTGGACCTGATAGTAGCTGTAAAGATGAAGAGAAGGGGACAGAGTTTAGATTTACTTTGGAAAGAGTCAACAGGACTTAATGGATTGATGTAAGGTGTGAGAGAAAGAGCAGAATCAAGGATGAATCCTATTTTTAGCTTGAGCAACTAGTGCACATTCCTCTAGGGAGAACTGATGTTTAGGAAACAATCAAGAGTTCCACTTTGGACCTGTAAGAGAAAGATACTGTAATATATTTACAGTGAAACTTTAAAGATTAATAGGGTCCCAACTGGATGAGAAGAAGGAATAGCATGCATGGTGGAAGTACGTTGCTGAGGAGGGAACATCAATCAATTGTGGCTGGAGCATGGCTGGGAACACAAGAGTGGAAAGAAATGCTGTTTATGATGAAAAATGTAAAATAATTTCTTTTTGCACTTTGATTCTTTCCTCAGTAGAACCCAAACATTCATGTTAAATGGAGTTAGTAGGAGGAAGAATCTAATGCATCATATTATTTGATGTAAGGTCAATTATGTTCTACAGTTGGTGTACCGAAAACAAAACCACCCTCTTCAGAATTCTTCTCAAAGTAAAAATTCTTCCCAGTAACTAAATAGCAAAACTGCCTCATTGGCTACAGTTGCTTTTTTGATGGTCCTCTGTGCAGGGACCACTCTCAGTCCACATCACTTGCGTGGCACCTGCTGTGCGATCGAGGATGATTCAGATGGTAGCTTTCTGTCCTTCAGCTCAGTAAATGTCCATCCCATTAGACCCAAGATCTTTTGGTAATGAGTATTTTGTAGTATCCCTTTTGCAATATCAAAAATAATATTTGTAGTTAATATAATCAACTTTTACAAATAAGTTGATTATATTGATGTAATATTCTGATTAACTTAAAGGAGAAATAAAAGGAGAGTGGTTTATAATAAAATGTGTATGTTAATATTTAAGTGTCAAGCATAATGAAGCATTTAGATGGAATATGATTTTCAAAATGTCAGACAGGTCTGGTTAAAGATTCAAACAAAACAAAATACAATTGTTCCTTGATTTACACGATACTTGGAAAAATTCAGTGTATTTATAAATCATATAAAAATGCTTTGTGTTTACATGTAACATAGAGTTAGTTAAGTCCTAGTTAGTTCTAAGTTAAGGCTTAGACAATTAAATAGTTTTTAGCTTGCAAGAATGTCTGTAGGATATTAGAAAGTCATTGGGGATGAGGAGATTGTGTGATATATATGAGTGTCTTGAGCACTGCAGGACTCCCTCACACCTCTGATTCCTGCCCTTGAAATATTTCCACAAATGTCCAAAATGTCTCTGGGGTTGGTACCCCTCCTGAGAACCACAGTTGTAGCTGTCGTCTGGGTCCTTGGCATCCATGCATCACAGAACACATTGAACCCCAGTCCAAATTGTAAACTTTCTGTGAACAATGCTATGTTCACCTTGCTCCTCTTCTATCCCCAGTGCCTGGCTTAAGGTTATTAGTAAATATTTGTTGCAGGAAAAATTGGATGAATAGATGGAAAGATAGATTTTCCTATTCTGTTTTGTGGAACAACTCTTTAGTCTTTTTTTTTTTTTCTCTGTTATGACTTGGGAAGGCTTTAAAAAATTGTCCATGAGATAAAAAGTAGTAGAAATTAGTCTCCTCTTGAATAACAGGTGGTAGGATCAATATGTCTATTTTTACCTGAGTGCCATCTCTGCCGTCATCTGCCTAAACTTTTTGTTAAGCCTGGAGGTGTAAATATAGACATTTATGCTTTTTTTCCTTTCTTTCTAGTGTGGGATGAGTTGGCCTGCTATGAAGAAAACACACGGGATTTTCTTTTCCCTGAGCCCAAGCTGACACCTTTATATCCTAGGAGGTATAGGGAGGTGCTCATGAAGACGGCTCTAGGTTTTCCAGTAAGTGATTCGCCCATCGGCTTCTGTTAGAAGAAAAATTCTTGGGACCTGAACATTTTATTCCTGACAGGGTTTGATGTTTATCTTGGTTAGTACCCCTGCTGTTCTGTTTAGTAGCTGTGTTTAGATGCCCAAATCAAGGTACCAAATTATACTGATTTCCAGTATTGATCTGAGAGGTGGAAGTTTTATCTAATCAGGGTAAAATCATTGCCATATTTACATTGTCACATAGTTATAAAAGCCTCCTTTTGTTGCAGATTAGCAGAGAGACTTGTTTGTTTAGTCATAGCTATTATGACTAAATAGAGTGGCAATAGTAGCTGTGTTACCTCTCATTTATTTTGCGCTTTCAATTTTTTACATAAGATATTTTCCTCCCAACAATTCTCAAGTTAGCCAAGGCAGATATGGTCTCCATTTAACAGGGAGGAAACTGACAGAGGCCCACAAATTTATATTTCTGACGGGATCTTAAAGGATACAGCAGATATTCTGTTGATAATTTAACTCTTAGGAGAACATTATCTGAGCCCAAATTCAAGATATTCATTTTGATGTTGTCTTTGACAATTTCTATCCCGACAGCAACCCTGATGATTTTCTTGACTTTTACATCACTTGAATGATCTCCATTTAAAGGGCCACACCTTTGAGAATTATAAAAAATTTTGATACTCAGCTTTTCTCTTATTATCTCATGAACTGCAATCATTATAATTAGATGAAGTGTTATTGTTTCCACTTTGTTGAGAGTACTGTGTAGAATATATTTAATGTAAGTCAGGACCTCTGTTTCTGTGCAGCTTAACATGACAGAGCTTCTAATACTTCAAATAGCAAACATGCATCAAAGGTTGTCCTAGTCAGAATTCCTAATGACTATAACTCCAAGCCCTTCATTTTCTTTGAGAGTTTAATGAATCTCACCGAAACTATCTTTGTTTATCCAGTATCTTCGTGTATCATTTAAACCCATGGTACATGTGAGAAGCTTGCCTTTAATTATTTTATTTCGAGTTATTGTGATATTGCTCTTTAGAAGCTGAAAGGGAATAAAAACTGATGAGAATCAGGTAGAGGATACTTTGTTATTGTAACTTTGGTTTGCCTAGTTCTCTGTTAAATAGAAGGCATCTACAAACACTGAGCTGGCATGCCGCTAAGTATCAAGATAAGAAGAAACAAACTTTCTTATTTTTTTTGAGTGTTAACTCTGTTTAACTTTATGTTCATAAATAAGAAAAATAACCTGTAGGAGGTTGTATTTATAGTTATTTATAAATGCAGTTAGTCATTAGAGAAAGGGGTTTTTAAACAAATACCTGCATGCATTAGAAGTATTCTTACAATTAAGTTTATCAAGCTGTATTTTAAAAAATTTGTGAAAAGATAGAGGGACTCAATTTCTCTCAACCATTCTATAAAGCAAAATAAAATAAATTGCCATTGCAATGGTTTTTGGAGGGTGGGATCTGATCTTATTTGTTACTCAAAAAATTTTACTTTTGACTGGACTCAGAAGTAAAAGCTCGCAGAGAGGGCAGCCTGCATCTGTTGGCAATCTATCCTGGCATTTTTCTTTGGTCTCTTTCATTCTCTTGGCCAAAAGTTTAGCGTATTCTGCAGCCTTTTTCTCATTTCCCTTAGTAGTCTGTTTCTTCAGAGTAATATGCCAGAGTTTGTGTTACAGGACATGTGGAGTAACAAGACACTGAAACTTGGGTGCTTTGGTTCTAGATTTCTTACCTTCTTTGTTTAAGGCTTTTATTACAATATATTGTCAACTATCATCTTTTTTAGAGTGATTGAAAAGTGCAGTCTTTTCTGCTAGGTCTTTTGGGCTCCAGGTGACAAGGCACCATAGAGTCAGTCAGTCCAAGAATATCCTTCTCTCCTTTTCTGATGATAACCAAGTTGAGAATGATCAGACTGGTGACCACATTGTGACCCTGAACATATTTGTACTTTCTTTTTCCAATTCTCTTTGGTTTATAACAGGAATACCCCTTACACGGTAGCAGGTGGACATGGCCATGGGTCAAGACACCCTGCTTTACAGAGAAAACATGTTTGTCATACCCACCACTGATTTGGATCACATAACCCTCCCATTCTTCACCTAGAGCATCTCAGTAGTAACTTCTGTGGCCATATGCTTTTCATAAAAAGTATGAAGTTTGCTTTCATCATCCCCTTCAATGAGTTTCTCACAGCCAGTGGCTGGAAAGGAAATATTCAGCTTCAACTTCTTTTTTTTTTTTGAGATAGAGTCTTGCTCTATTGTCCAGGCTGCAGTGCAATGGAGCCATCTCGGCTCACTGTACCTCCACCTCCATGGTTCAAGCGATTCTCCTGCCTCAGCTTCCTATAGTCGGATTACAGGTACCCACCACCACGCCTGGCTAATTTTTGTATTTTTAGTAGAGACGAAATTTCACTATGTTGGCCAGGCTAGTCTCAAATGCCTGACCTCAGGTGATCCCCTGCTTTGGCCTCCCAAAGAGCTGGGGTTATAAGCATGAGCTACCATGCCCAGCCTTCAGCTTCATCTTCAATTAGCTGATTACCTCCAAGATACCACAAAAAAGAGCCATCACTTTCATAATAGCTGATGTTCCAGCCTGACCAACATGGTGAAACCTCATCTCTACTAAAAATACAAAAACTAGTTGAGCGTAGTGCCGGATGCCTGTAATCCCAGCTAGTCAGATGCTGAGGCAGGAGAATTGCTTGAACCCAGGAGGCAGAGGTTGCAATGAGCCGAGATCATGCCACTGCACTCCAGCTGGGTGACAAGAGTGAGACTCTGTTTCAAAAAAGAAAAAAAAAGCTGATGTTCACTGTGTGCTACCTGTATACCAGGAACTGTGTTGAGCTCATTACATGGATTATCCTATTCAGTTCTCCTCCACCTTGTGAGGTGGCAGCTATTCTTTCTCCACTTTAATGGAGAAGGAAGCTAGTGTAAAGAGTTTCAGAAATGTATTCAGGGTCACAGAACTGGTGAGCGATGGAGCAGGGATTTTTATGCTGGCCTGTCTGGCTTCAGAGCCTGCGCTCTTACTGACTGAATGATGCTCATTTTTTTTTCTTTTTTCTTTTTTTCTTCGCCTGTCCTTGAATTAGATGCTCATTTTCTTATATTTATTTCAGCCCACTATCTGATTTCTTTTCATTAGTATTGTAAGAAATAAGAATTACATGTACATGAGACAAATCATTCACTTTATTTTCTCCTAATTTATCAATTCATTAATTAGATTTATTTTCTCCATTAGAATGTGGCTTTTTCTTTGTATTTCTGTATTTTGTTGTTTTATTTCACTGGTACTTTAACAGTATTTTTTTATCTCCTGGTGAGATCAATTTTTTTATTTTTTATTTTTGCAATGGTATCTAGTCTCATCTATTAGAGAATAGATAATACTATTATCTCATCTATTAGGTAAATGATAGTAAAAGATAATAATACTGTCTCCCTATGAGGCAGTGAGAAGATTGCACAGTTATCTATTATCGTGTTAGGTTAACATTCACTTTGTAAGGTGAGCAGAAAAAGCATTTTAAAAAGATTATTCTTTATTTTTTTTTGGTGGAATGATTCTAGAAAAATTCTACTGTTAAATCATTTCATTGACCTAATCATTATCACCATCATTCCATTGGTAAGGAGAGTGGACAAGATATAGTCTCTGAATTTCAACTCTAAACTATAATGTTATGCTAAAAGCAGCACTGTATGAAAAAGAAAATACATTATTCTTTATTGTCAGTAAGTCATTGCAAGGAGTGGAGGTCAAATAAGATAAACAAAAAATGTGTTACAGAGTGTGCATTCCTTACCAGCAGGGGACTTCCTTCCTCCTCTCTAGGCAAAGTGGATCAGGAATCTGTTAGGCAGCTGCATGTATAGTGGTTAAGTGTGGAATCAGATTGTCTGAGTTCATTCCCAGTTTTGTCATGAACGGCTGTGAGACTTTGGATAAATTAATCTCTGTGTGCCTTAGTTTACTCATCTGTAAAATGGGACTGTAATAGTACATCACTTATAGGATTATTGTGTTAGATGAGGTAATATATAGGATTTAGCACAATACCTGATAGTTAAGTGTACAATAAATATAAGTTGTTATTATTTATTGTGCCATCATCCAAGAGTTAATACTGTCTCCCTGTGAGGCAATGAGAAGATTGCACAAGTCTGTGGCATGAGAGATGATGTTTTCGGGCTCAGGCCACTGGGCTATGGGGGACCTGGAACTTGACACACGTGTGAGGGTCTTGTGATTCTACCAGTAGCACTGTGGACACTGGAACTCTCCCTGCCTTCTTCATCTGCGCTATCTCATTAACAGGAGATGAGGCTATGCTAGTCATATTATTGTATATTCTTTATCAAATGTCCCTTTGCATTGTCTGAGTCTGTGTAGCATCTTGGCCCCTGTGTTTATATGCCCAAAAATGTTTCCTTGAATTGCCATCGAGGCTTTGCACTCTTGTGTGCATACTGTGCATTCTACAGGCAAAATAAAAAGGAGTTAAAGATGTAGGTTGTACCTGTAAGGACTTGTATAGACAGGCTAGGTACACATGAATGAATAAATGCACAGGAAACAAGCTGACTAGCTGATTCACAAGGCCCCTCGAGAGGTAGCATGGGGAAATGTAAAGAGCGTAGTTTTGCATTTCAGCAGAGTGTCAGATCCTGCTCTGCCCACCTGAGTGACATTGGGCATACTATTAAACCTCTCCAAGCCTGTTCCCTCCTGTGTAAAATGGGGATACAGTAGTCTACTACACAGGTTATATGAGGATTAGATGAGATTATGCCTCTGGAAATCCTTAATAGCACATGTAATAAATATCCAATTTGACTTCCTTTCCTTCGAGGGCTTTAGTTGGGGTAAACCCTTTTTGGAAGCACCTTGACTATAAGTTTTATAAATGAAATGAAATATTAGAGGCTGGAGGGAGAGACTACTATGGGCTTACTTGGA